AAAGGAAAAGGCAAGCAAGATGAAGGGTGACGAAGGTGAAGAATTCAAAGATGATACTGAAAACGAGGATCTCAACGATGGCAAATCGAGGAGAGATTCGCCGTTTTACAAATATTTTGCGTAGATTCATGAGCAAATGGAGGAACATGCAAAGACTTTCACCGCCGACAAATCGCCCGATGAGTTGGAAGAAAATGAATATTACGCACCGAGATTTTTCAGTTACATGTTCGATTGGATAATACCATATGCAGGTTTATGGTGTGCATATTTCATCCAACAATTTGGAATCGTCAGGGACAGTGATGCAGCAATAGAAAATCATTTTAAAAGGATGAAGAGTGATGTGATGGAGAAGAAGAAGAAGTTGGCACACGGGACTTTCATAAGATTGTTGGAAAAGAAAACAAAGCAGTGGTTAGCATACAGGTTACCCCCTCAACTCACAGAACGACAGAAGATGGGTCGCGTACTGAAAGCAAAGACACGAGCACAAAATATCAGCAAAAAACCTCAGCAATATCAGCAAAAACCCTCGCAAAAGCGCCGAGAATTGTCAACAAATCCCGATTTAGCAACCGAAAAATGGAGCGACGGTACGTACGGCAAAAGAAAGAGACGCGAGGGAGTTACGTTATTTTCGAGCGAAGAAAGTAGTTGCTACTCCAGAAGGCGACAGTAACGATGTTGATGACGCCAGTGATAAAAGGGAGCAAGACAAAAGCGAGGATTCAAACAGTAACTTCCAGCAGAACGGAGTGAATGTTACAAATGAAAATGATGAGTCTGATTATGATGACGTCTTTGCAGATTTTCCTTCGACAGGATTAGAAGATTTAGATGATGATTCTTTTGATGAGACCGTATACTATAATCGCGATGGTATTAAAGATCGTTTCTTCGACCAAGATATGCGTTATCCGGTCAATTTTCCTTTCTTATCAAGAAACATTGCAGGTCTGTGGTTGAATGAACAAACATTCAAACGACTCATACCAACGAAGGCGTTGGATGGTGAAATTATAAATGCTTTTTTGAGTACTCCAACCGACGTAGCTGCAGGAAATGACTTGAAACTTTTACCGTTCGATTCCTATTTTTGTAAGAAAATGGTAGACACTCATCCAGCTATTGGATTTTCCAGGTGGATACAGACGGTACAACCTACAAATTACGATGTATTGTTAATACCATACAATGCAGGTGGGAATAACTGGACGTTATTAGCAGCTATACTTCCAGCGAAGCTCATGATTTATTTCGATTCTTTACATGGCGAACCCCCGAAAAATTTCATTGAGAACATAACAGGATTCATCATGAGAGTTGGAACAAAAAGTCGTCAGAGAACGAGAGGACAGCCCCAGAAAGAATGGGAACTGTTCATACCACGAGATATCCCAGAACAAAAGTCAATACCGGGCGTGAGTGCCAACAACTGCGGTGTATATGTCTATATGTACGCTTATATGATTGCAAGCGGATCCAGTGAGCTGTTTGAGGAAGCCGACATGAATACTGCACGCATTGGTATCGCCAACTACTTATATGAGTTCTCATTAACTGAAAGCACTGAGAGGAGGCTGACCAATTGTGACGCCTTACTGGAGAGCGACGACATTCTGAAGGAGATGAAAAGGGATCCTAGTATGCGATGCGTACACAAGGATACAGCACCGTATGGCTCAACGAGCCAGTTTCTTGAATTGATACGAGTTCTAATCGATGGCAATGCTGTTTGAAACATAAAGCTTAATAGGATAAACGATTATCAATGGGAAATGTATGTGTATTGAGAAGAAAACTATAGATGTACGAAATGTATGGGAGAAATAGAAAAATGTTTCATAATGTAGGAAATTTTCGATTATTAAAGATATGGTTATTCACGATCATTGTGAATAGAACATTGGATCATTGGTTTATTCAAGAGTCCCTCATTAACACTATACAATCAAACCTTCAATGTGTACTGTTTTCTATATGACACCCTTCAGACTTTTTATTAGAACGATAAAAGTCCCAATGATCTGTTAATTAAAGGTTCAATGGAAATTTTTGTGAAACGAATGTAACACACCGCAAATCACGTCTGCAGGAGTGATAATTAGGGAATAATATCTGCACTCTGTAAAGAACTCATTGTATAGATCGCAGATTTGAACGCAATAAACATCGAGAAGACATTACAAGAGCCACACCATGAGTGAATAATTCAATTAATTTTTTCCAGGGGACCTTCCTTTCTCTGACAAACCCTTCGACCTTGATGAAAAAGAGGCATGGCAAATGTCACATTCTAAGCGATAAGAAGATAAAAAATAGAAACCGCCCCATGTCCATTTCATTAATTCTGAATCGTCAAACACCTTGCGCACCCCATACAAACCCTTTCAACATAGGAAATTAGAGAAAAAGTCGAATTTTCCACTCTATAAAAATATCAATAAATTATTAAAAACCACCCCATGTATAGTTAATTGAACCTAAATCGTTAGGGGGGATGTTTCGAATGTTTACAGAAATCTGCAGCTCTGGAACACCTTGCGCACCCCATGCAACCCCTTTGAACATGGAAAATTATAAGAAATGTCGAAATCCCCACTCTGAAAAAGGACAAAAAAATTATTAAAAATGACCCCATATCTAGTTGATTAATCCTAAATTGTTTGGGGGGATGCCCTGAATGTCCAGGAAAATTTTCACCCCTCAAACACCTTGTGCAGCCCGTTCGACCCCTTGGATCATGGAAAATTAGGAAAAAAATTCAATTCTTCAGTCTAAAAAAAGACTCAAAAATTATTTGAAACCACTCCATGCCTAATTAATTGCATTTGAATCATTGGGGGGGATGCCTTGAATGTCCAAAAGACATTTCACCTCTTAAACACCTTGTTCACCCCATTCAACCCCTTGGATCATGGAAAATTAGCAAAAAATTAGATTCTCCAGTCTAAAAAAAATCCTCAAAAATTATTTGAAACCACCCCATGTCTCATTAATTGCATTGAAATCTGTTCGGTTTTCCACCGAATTATTTTCCTCATACACACACACGCTCACGCACACTCGCTCCTCTTGCATGCTTGCATGGCTTCTCCTAACTGACCTGCGCAACCGACTGAACTGACCAGTGGCCTCTCACCTCCGACACCTGAGGCGCCACTTGATGGACAGGTGTCCAGCGAACGCCCTCATTTAAATTGGGGCACGTTTGGACCCACGATGATCGACACGTGCCACCTTGCGGGCTTTCAATCGGCCTCTTTTGCATATCAGCCATCGTATAGTGTACATTGCTTTCCGCGAATACTTTTGATTGTCTCAAGTTCTACGGGCTTTTTGCTCGGCGTCGTTATATTCTTTGAACCGCGTTATTGACTGTTGTGATCCGCGTTAATCTCTTGTTCATCTCGATTAATCAAACCACCAGTGTAAGTATTGACTTTCTTTAAATATTAAATTGACTTTTGTGACCAACGTGCACGTGTAGTGATTTGTGGACTTTCTCCCGCTCCCGTTAGAATCCGTTTTTATCTTGCCCATCACTCATAATTTCCACAGATCTCAGACCCAGCATCGAAAATTTTGGTCCTTCGAGCCGGATCTGTGGAATATTTTTCGGTTTTTCGGGTTTTTTAAGTGATTAAAACGGGAGTGAAAAACGGACAGCGCTCAGCAGTAGTGCTCATCCCTCGGCTCCAGGAATTCGAATCTGGTGGACGCAAAGGGTGCTCAACCAGTTCTACTCACATCACTTCAGGGACCTGCGATACCGGCCAGGCGAGTAATTTAAACTGACCAGCGCTGTCTAAAGGGAAGTTTGCACTGCTATTTCTCCTTTATTGATTTTTTTTTATTTCTCGTGCCTGGAACCAGCTGACCTGCGTCGGCGATTCACTTTATTTAATTTTTCGTTTTTTTTTGGACATTCGAAACTCTTCGGAATTATTTTCAAAATTTTATTATTTTCTTGTCTTGAACACTTCGGTTTGTTTTTGGGATCATCGGGCCGGCACTTAGGGTTTCCGCGTGTTTTTGAACGGCTCTTTCTAGAGGAATAAAACAGTTTTTCAATTCCGGATTGCGACTTGCGTTATCGGTTCCTTTTCGTTTCTTTTTTGTTAACGCATATTGTCGTATCCAACATGTCGGCTCTAGAAGCAACTATCACGCTTCAAATGACTCGAGCGGCTTTTATCGAGGAAACTTGTAACGAAGCAAAGGGAGATAGCGCAATGCAGCTTGGACTTGTGGCACTGGAGTCTAAGTTGGTGCTGCTCGAGAAATATTGGGACAAACTTGAATCCACTCATGAGAAGCTCGTAGCTAGCGGTTCGAAGATGGAGGGTTTATTGGAGCGCTCTTATTTCAAAAATCAGGTTTTTGACCAAGCGCTGACGAGATACGCGACACCTAAGACCACGATCACGTAACTGATGGAGTATAAGGGAGCTCCTAACCTCAATCAGACCATTTCCAGAGATTGAGCTGCCTAAGTTCTCTGGAGTTTATAGGAATGCAGGCCATGGCGCGACTTATTCCACTCTTTGGTCGGGAATAACCCTGACATTCCGGGAGTTGAGCGCATGCACTACGTTCGTCTCGCTCTTTCTGGCGAACCACTCAATCTCAAGCTGATTTCGAATTTGCCCGTCTCGGAGGAATCTTTCTCGATAGCTTGGGGAATCCTCACGAACCGCTACGAGAACCAACGCTTGTTAGTTTCAGCTCATTTAGACCAGCTCCTGCATCCGCCTTCGATGACGTCCCACAGCGCCACGGAGCTCAATCTGTTGACCAGCTCAGTCTCTGAAGCACTTAGCGCACTCAAAGCTCTGGGGCAACCTACTGATCATTGGGGTCCAGTGGTTGTCCATGTCATTGTCCATCGACTATCTAATGAGCTTCGAGAGGCGTGGGAGAATGAAATCGGGGCCTCATTGGAGTATCCTTCTCTGGACCAGCTCGCCGAATTTCTATAAGGTCGCTCCCGGGCAATGGAGACTTTAGAAGTTGGATCTGGTTCTCACAATTCAAGCTCGACGAAATCTTCACAGCCCAGCGTGCAGTCCCGTCCTGCGTCGAAGTCCAGCGGCAAGGTCAACGCAGTGACCTCCAATCGGCCGGCTTACCAACCGTCTCAGCAGCCTCAAGGTCCAGCGCGCAAGCTACAGTCCACTCCAGCTCAATCATGGGCTGAGGCGGGCATGTATCCCTGTTCATACTGCAAGGAGGAGCACTGAATCGGCACTTGCAGTCAGTTCAAGAATCTTTCGCCAGCTGGTCGAAAGGAAGTCGTGGATCGTCTCTATCTGTGCTTCAACTGTTTGGGGAAGCACAGCATCAGGGTCTGTCAGACCACTCGTAGGTGCTTTCAATGCCAGGAGAGGTACCATACCCTGCTGCATTTGGATCGCTCTCGTCGTCCAGCTCAGCGTGGTCCAGCATCTCGAGTTCCTGTCAACGATGCAGGAGCTCAGCGACCGAGTACTTCCGTTCGTCAATGGATACCGGCCAGGCATCCATTCACGAACGCTCTTCAACGGATCGGAATCCATTGACCAGCGTGCCTGTCGCGACGTACACTCACACCGGTGATTCTACTCAGGCTACGTCTTCAGCTCATCCTCAGGCCTGAAGCGGACCGTCCTAAGCGTGGATTCCTTGTTCGGCCCACAGTCGTTCTGCGCAAACCTCTCGGTCTGGAGTCCTTCTCGCAAATTGTTTAGCTCTTCTCGTGAGAGATTATTGCCTTCCGCATCAAGTTCGACTCTTGTTGGATTCAGGCACCGAACTCTCGCTCATCTCAGATAAATTAGTTCGGAAGTTAAATTTAAAGAAAACTCGTAGTTTCATCCACATTACAGAAGTGGGAGGATCATCGGTTGGGACAACGTCCGGCGAAGTACATCTCACCCTACAATTGATCCACTCAGAAGAACGCATTGAAGTTACAGCTCACTCTCTTGATCGTCTCATCTCAACGCTGCCGTTCTTCTCAGCAGAGGGCCTTAAGTGGGATCATATCGAGGGATTAGAGCTTGCTGATCCTCATTTCCCAGTCTCTGCACCAATTGACCTTCTCGTCGGTGCTGATGTTTTTGGTCAGGTCATCAAGCCCAACGTGATTAAAGGAGGGGTTCAGGCTCCAGTCGCTCAACTCACCAGCTTTGGCTGGATTGTTTACGGACCAGCGGGACCTGATCAACCAACATCTTGCTCTTCTCATCACCTCAGTGTATCGAACGACGAGCTCAACGACTTTCTCACGAAGTTTTGGGTTCAGGAGGAAGTTCCTGAGCGCACTGACGCGAATCTCTCAACGGAAGAATTGGAGTGTGAACACCACTTCCGTCAGACTCACTCAAGGGATAGCTCAGGGCGATATATCGTTCGTTTGCTCTTCTCAGCTCCAGTTTCGTCATTAGGGAATTCCTATCATTCAGCGCTAGCTTGTCTCCATCGGATGCTCGCTAGAATCTCAAAAGATGCGCGCTTTCTCCAGCTTTACTCTGACTTTCTCAAAGAATGTGAAGATCTCGACCATATGAGATTAGTAACTCGCTCGACTCATCGCTCTTCGTCTTCGGTTCAGGCGGATTCCGCTTATCGTTCTGACGAGACGACCTTAGCACATGAAGCCCAAGCTTCAGGAGGGTTGAGTGTCTCTGAAGGGCTTCAGGTAGGGCCATCTGACGCTCACAGGAGTTACTATCTACCTCATCATGGTGTAGTCAGAGAGAGCAGTGAAACGACGAAACTGAGAGTAGTGTTCAACGGATCAGCGAAGACCAGCTCAGTGAACTCACTCAACGACATTCTCCACACAGGAGCCAAGTTGCAGAGAGATATGTCGGACGTGCTGCTCTGGTCAAAACAGCATAAAGTCATCTTCATGACGGACATCACCAAGATGTTCCGCCAGATTAGAGTTCACGAGGATGACTGGCCCCTGCAGCAGATTCTATGGACCAACTCAAGTGGAGAACTAGTCACGTATCGACTGACAACAGTCACATACGGCACGAGATCAGCTCCGTTTCTCGCGAACAGTGTCCTTCTTCAGCTGGCTGAGGATGAAGGACGTCGGTTCCCTTCGACCGTCTCGCCCATCGTGAAAGGAAGATACGTTGACGACATTTGTGGAGATGCGGACACGCATGACCAACTCGTCAGGACCGCGCAAGAAGTTCGTGATCTCCGCGCTGCTGGAGGAATGCCTCTGGCAAAATGGCATAGTAATGGGCCAGCGTTACTCCAGTGGCTCGCTCCTGATAGTGCCTCCAATGACCAGCGAGTTTATGAGGATTCGGAGACCCGAATTCTTGGCTTGTCGTGGCAGCCCAGCTCGGATAACTTCATCTTCTCAAGTCGGACCAGCGATGAATCGAAAGTTTCTAAGAGGAATATCCTCTCAGAGATCGCTCAGATCTACGACCCGCTCGGATTTCTATCTCTTGTCGTGATCAGAGGGAAACTACTCATGCAGGAGACTTGGATTCGAAAGCTCGGTTGGGATGAGGAAGTCCCAGAACAAGTTGCCCAGCGTTGGAAAAGTTTTCGGAATGATCTCACTCTCCTCTCGAAGTTATCTGTTCCAAGATGGNTTTCTAAGAGGAATATCCTCTCAGAGATCGCTCAGATCTACGACCCGCTCGGATTTCTATCTCTTGTCGTGATCAGAGGGAAACTACTCATGCAGGAGACTTGGATTCGAAAGCTCGGTTGGGATGAGGAAGTCCCAGAACAAGTTGCCCAGCGTTGGAAAAGTTTTCGGAATGATCTCACTCTCCTCTCGAAGTTATCCGTTCCAAGATGGTTAGGCCTTCTCCAGAATTCGTCGATTGAAATCCATGGATTCTCAGATGCTTCTGTTCTCGCAATGTCAGCCGTAGTCTATCTCAAAGTCTTTACTGGAGATGAAGAGCTTCGGATTTATCTGGTCTGCACGAAAACGAAAGTAGCTCCTCTCAAACGGCTGACAATCCCAAGCCTAGAGCTCACAGCTGCGGCTATGCTTGCCAAACTCGTAAAGTACGTGAAAGGAGAGCTCAATCTCTCGAACGTTCCGACGTTTTTATGGACCGACTCATCAGTTGCGCTTACGTGGATCAACTCGCACCCGTCCAGATGGAAAGAGTTCGTAAGAAATCGTGTTCAGCTCATACAAGAGACCTCGCGAGCTCAATGGAAACTCGTTCCTGGCAAGGAAAACCCAGCTGACTGCGCATCTCGTGGACTAACTACAGCTCAGCTCTCTGCACATGAACTCTGGTGGCACGGTCCACCGTGGCTCATGAAAAGCTTATCGTCGTGGCCATCTCTAGAGCTTGCTTCAGTGGTATCACCAGATCTTGAAGAGAAACCTGGTGTCCTTCTCAACGTGAAGGTCCAGCGCCCAGAGATTTGGGATTTAGTTCATCGCTATTTTTCACTCGACAAACTGCTCCGAGTTACAGACATCTGCTAGCGCGTCATTGCTCGTCTCAGAAGAATCCCTGGATCATCGTTAGCAACAGCTCTGAACACTGGTGACATCGAGCAGGCTGCTTTGGGTCAAGCTCACTCAGTCTGCGCACTTCTCAGCTGGGCTTATGACCTTGTCCAAAGGGCAACGTCTTAGTCCGTCTAACTCACTCACTCGATTGACAGCGTTCCTGGACCACCGGGGAGTTCTACGCGTTGGAGGGCGCCTGAAGTTTGCTCAGCTTGACTGCGAAAATAAGCATCAGATCATCGTATCTCGGGATTCGCAGTTCGCTCAGCTCATGATTCGAGATGCCCATCTCAGGACTCTGCATGGAGGACCGCAGCTCACTCTCGGTCAACTCAGAAGGTCTTACTAGATCCTCGGTGGAAGAGCCCCGGTAAGATCATTCATCCTTAGGTGCGTTCCATGCGCCAGACAGCGAGGGATCAGAGCTCAACAGCTCATGGGCCAGCTCCCAGTTGCTCGTCTCACCCCTGGCTGAGCGTTCCTCAACACTGGAGTTGACTACGCCGGACCAGTGTCGCTCCGCTCGTGGAAGGGGCGCGGTTACAAGTCGTACAAGGGATGGCTCGCGATCTTCGTCTGCATGACCACGTCCGCAGTCCATATTGAGGTAGACTCAGATTACGCAGCCGATGGATTCATCGCTGCATATCGTCGCTTTGTTGCCCGGCGTGGACTCTGCAAGAACTTGTTCTCAGACTGCAGAACGAACTTCTTGGGAGCCGACAAGGAATTGAAGATACTCTTCTCAATGGCGTATAAGGAATCGGACAAACTAGCCTAACTCTTGCTCAGCGATGGAACCAGATGCTCTTTTAACCCTTCAGGTGCGCCAAACTTTGGAGGCAAATGGGAAGCCGCGGTAAAGTCGGTGAAGTTGCACCTCAAACAGACGATCGGCGATATCTATTGACCTACGAGGAACTCACTAATTTACTCGCGCAAATCAAGGCTGTGCTCAATTCGCGACCACTGGAACCACTATCAGAAGATCCTGATGATGTCAGCGCGCTCACACCAGGTCATTTCCTGATTGGCCAGGCTTTGACCTCCGTTCCTGAGCCTTCGCTGGAGCATTTGAAAGTCGCTCGCCTATCTCGTTGGCAGCTCATCCAGCAGAAGGTTCAGTGCTTCTGGAAGCAGTGGTCCACTAGCTACCTTCAGCATCTACAGTCCATCTCGAAGTGGCACCACCCATCTCACGACATCAGAATTGGTTCCATAGTCCTACTCACCGACGAGAGATTCCCACCAACGAAGTGGCCTCTCGCTCGAGTCATCGCTCTCCACCCTGGTAGAGATGGACTCGCCAGGGTGGTCACCATTAAGACGCCCAGTTCTACGCTTCAGAGGCCTATCTCCAAGCTTGCTTTACTGCCAGTCTCGACCAGCGATACGTAAGATCATCTTAACCAGCGGTACCTAAGATCACCTCGACCAGCCATAACTAAGATCATCTCACGTGATGACAGCTCTACATCATCGAGTTCATCGTAGTCCATGTTCGGATTGGGTCATAGTGAGGATTTACGACTGCCAGGGTCTGATGGAATTTACGCCTCCTACGTCCTCGGCTGTACTCACACCTGACCGTCACTGGTAAACTACGATGGTGATACTGATCTTCGAGAAATTATTGTCCTGAGCACGATTAATTTCCTTTTTTTACAGAACTGCGCAAAGAAGTGTCAGCACCTACTGAGGGCGGGGGAGAATGTTCGGTTTTCCACCAAATTATTTTCCTCACACACACACACGCTCACGCACACTTGCTCCTCTCGCATGCTTGCATGGCTTCTCCTAACTGATCTGCGCAACCGACTGAACTGACCAGTGGCCTCTCACCTCCGACACGTGAGGCGCCACTTGATGGACGTCCAGCGAACGCCCTCACTTAAATTGGGGCACGTTTGGACCCGTCGATGATCGACACCTGCCACGTTGCGGTCTTTCAATCGGCCTCTTTTGCATATCGGCCATCGTATAGTGTACATTGCTTTCCGCGAATACTTTTGATTGTCCCAAATTCTACGGGCTTTTTGCTCGGCGTCGTTATATTCTTTGAACCGCGTTATTGATTATTGTGATCCACGCTAATCTCTTGTTCATCTCGATTAATCAAACCACCAGTGTAAATATTGACTTTCTTTAATTATTAAATTGACTTTTGTGATCAATGTGCACGTGTAGTGATTTGTGGACCTTCTCCCGCTCCCGTCAGAATTCGTTTTTATCTCGCCCATTGCTCATAATTTCCACAGATCTCAGACCCGGCATCGAACGAAATCTTTCGGGGGATGCCCCGAATGTCCAACAGAAATTTCACCCCTTTAACACCTTGTCCGCCCCGTTCAAACCATTTGATCATGGAAAATTAGGAAAAACAGTAGATTCCCCAGTCTAAAAAAATACTCAAAATTATTTATAACCACCCCATGTCTAATTAATTGCGCCAAAATCGTTGGGTGGGGGGATGCCCTGAATATCCAAAAGAAATTTCACCCCTCAAACACCTTGTGCACCGAAATTTCGAACATAGAAAATTAGAAAGAATTCGATTTGCCCACTCTATAAAAATAGTAAACAATTATTAAAAACTACCCCATGTCTAGTTCATTGGGCCTAAATTGTTTGATTGGGAGGAGGGGTGAGAGAATTGGTGAAAAATTGCCTCCATGAAAAAAATTAACTAAAAAATTGTTCAAAAAAACCCTGCGTCTTATAGCATGGTGTACCTCATTAATTTAATATTCTATTCATTAGTAAGGCCGGAGACTTCATTTAAGAAAACGGCTATTATCAGAAGTTGGCTCCAAATAACTGATTGAAGTAAGCGACAAGTAGGGTTGGGAAGAAATTGAAACATTGATGTTGGAATTTGTCATAATTCATTGATTGGAGCGTTATTTTGTTGACGGAGTGAGGAAAAGCGTTTGAATGTGAATTGGGTGTTTTGAAGAGGGTCAGTGGGAGATCTCGGTGATTTCTTAGAGTTAACTTACCAGGAGAGCTATCGGGTTCTTTCAAAAGGGGATTAATGGAGGCCATGGTCGAGGGGAGATCTTGGGGGTCCGTTCCCAGGACAGCCCGCAGGGTATTTTAATGGTGGAGGGGGGGGGGTCAATAGAGTGTATGGACGAGGGGAGATCTCGGAAGGTTTTTGGAGGATATCTCTATAGTGGAGCTCTCGGGGTATTTCTAAGGGGGTAGGAGAGAGGGGGGGTGGTTAATGGAAGGTATGGTCAAGGGGTGATCGTGGAGGTTCTTTGGGGATAACTCGACAGCGCAGTTCTCCGGANTAAGTTCCCAGTGCATCTCTCAGGATCTTTCTAGAGGGGGTGGGGGTCAGTGGTGTGTATGGTCAAGGGGAGATATCGAGGTATTTTGGGGGTCACTCTCCAAGGCAGCTCTCCTNGTCAAATATCGTCTAAGAACCCCAGGAATCTCCTCTTAGCCATTTCCTCTGAAAATACCCTAGAAACTCCTCTGAAAAATGTTCCGTGAAAATCTCGGCGATCCCCCTAGAAAAATTTCCTTAGTTATCCCCTCAAACTTACTTCGAGAAATGTTCCCCAGATTTCTCCGGAATTTCGTTCCAACCATACTTTCGAGATCTCCTCTTGACCACACCCCTACTGACCCCTGGAAGTAACCTCAAAGAACCCCTCGGGATGTCCCCGTCATCATACACTCCTTGGCAAATCGTAGAAAGATCCAGAGAGCAATCCCCAAAAGTGATCTTCAAAATCACCCGAGATCCANATTTCTCCGGAATTTCGTTCCAACCATACTTTCGAGATCTCCTCTTGACCACACCCCTACTGACCCCTGGAAGTAACCTCAAAGAACCCCTCGGGATGTCCCCGTCATCATACACTCCTTGGCAAATCGNTCCAACCATACTTTCGAGATCTCCTCTTGACCACACCCCTACTGACCCCTGGAAGTAACCTCAAAGAACCCCTCGGGATGTCCCCTTCATCATACACTCCTTGGCAAATCGTAGAAAGATCCAGAGAGCAATCCCCAAAAGTGATCTTCAAAATCACCCGAGATCCACCCTTGACGATCCCCTTCATTAATCCACTCCAGAAAGACCCTCAGAGCTCCCCTGGAAAGTCAACCCCAGAAAACTTCCGAGATCCCCCTCGAGTATACCTTTCATCAGTACCCTCTCGAAAGGCCCGGAAAGTTCCTCTTGACCATATCCCCCATTGACCCCCCTCCCTAGAAAGATCCTGGGAGCTGCCCTAGAGCTGTCCTGGAGAGTTAGCCTCAATAAAACCTTGAGATCTCCCCGTACCATACCCACCACTGACCCCCACTCCCCCTAGAAAGATCCTGAGAGATACCCTGGGAAGTTATCCCCAAGATCTCTCCTTGACCATACCCACCAATGACCCCCCCCCACCCCACCCCCTCTAAAGACCCGGAGAACTGCCCTGCCGAGTTATCCCCAAAGAACCTCCACGATCTCCCCTTGACCATACCCTCCTCTCCGTCGCCCTTAAAAATACCACGAGAGCCCCACTATAAAGATACTCTCCAAAAACCTCCCGAGATCTCCCCTCGTCCATACCCTCCATTGACCCCCCACCCCCTCCCCCTCCCTTAAAAGACCCTGCGGGCTCTCCTGAGAACTGACCCCCAATGTCTCCCCTCGACCATGGCCTCCATTAATCCCCTTTTGAAAGAACCCGATAGCTCCCCTGGTAAGTTACCCTTAAGAAATCGCCGAGATCTCCCATTGACCCTCTTCAAAACACCCAATTCACGTTCAAACGCTTTTCCTCACTCTGTTAACAAAATAACCCTCCAATCAATGAATTATGACAAATTCCAACATCAATGTTTCAATTTCTTCCCAACCCTACTTGTCGCTCACTTCAATCACCTATTTGGAGCCAACTTCTGATAATAGCCATTTTCGTAAATGGAGTCTCCGGCCTTATTAATTTGTCATGAACAGAGCCCGG